TGTTTTTCTAGAGAACTATTCATGTGTTTTGTAGTTTTGGCTGGGAGATTAAACAGGAAACCTTTCTGGTGTCTATAACAGTGCTTTGCAACTGAAAGTGGCACTGTCTGCAGAGAGATACAAATCTTTCCTAAAAAGACTTACAAAGACCATCCACCCAACATTTAGAAACTCTGCAGTCCTTATAGGAAACTTTAAATCCTCCCTCATAAATGTCTCCAAAACCAACACAACACTCCCTGGAGAATCAGGAACTGGAAAGCAGGTCTGAAAGGTTTGTTGTTTTTTTCTTCCTTCACATTTTATGCTACTGTAAATAATGTACTTCTTGTATCAAATCCTGCTTCTTTCTCAGCAGCAAAGGGTAGGATGTCTGCTGGCCAAAGTGGCTGCAGGCTTCCACATCTGAGGGTGCTGAATGCATCCCTTCACAGCTGACCTAGGGAGGCAGCTTTCCTACCTTTCTTCAAAAGGCAGACTTCTAAAACAGGTCAGATGTTTCTCACAGGTACTGTTAGTTGAGATGGATGCTGCCTGGAATGCATGTTAAAAAGGGGCACAAGTCTCTAGAAGTCTGTTTCTAGCCCCTATACCAGCCCTCCAAGTAAACTCTGAGTCAACAGACAGGGCCTGCTAGAAATGCTATATCTTTGGACATCAGTAAACAAATCTGGAGGGAAGCAAATTCTAATTCTTTCCTGAAAGCACCAAGCCATCAGTACCAAAACCAAGATCAAGATGTTAGCCTGACTACCTCAGATGACTTTGAAGACAACACTGATTTCTTAGAAGCTGTGTGAAAATGTGTTTTTTGTGCTAGCTACGTCCTTATGCCAACTGTCAGAACACTTCACTGTACACTAGAAGTTCTCTCTTTCACTGGCTTTCACATGGTGATTTAGTTAGAAAATAAGTGTAAAAACTGTGGGTGCCTATATCTCCATAGGCTTAGCACAGGAGAGAAGACAGTAAGGAATCCAACCCCTTGCTCCCAACAAACATGTTGAAAAGTTGAATGCAGGGATTAGCCTAGATACTCCCTACAACATTGCATCAACGTCATGTTTGCATAGTTACTCCCAGTCCCAAAACAAACAGTAAGGAAATAGTGAATCAGACCACAGAGGTTTCCAGAAACCTGAGCAGACAGACTGACTGAGGTGCTTGTGCAATGAATAAAAGACTGTCACTTCTCCCCAGCCAAACTCACTCTGCAGTAATTTACTCAGTGTTGCATGAAGCACCTGTAGTTTCAACACCAGGACTTTTATTATTCTGCTGTAGGCTTGAAGTTGAAAAAAATATTCTCTCATCTGAACAGTACATTCAAGGAGGGTTTTTGCTTCAGGACAGATAATTCCACGATTAACTGAAACCTGTGCTTTCTCAGCTGAGCCATGTCTGCATTCTTAATTCACTGTAGGTTAAACTCTGTAATCCTGATTAGGGTTGTCTGTTAGAAATAAATAGGATTTCCCTCAGAGAAGGTATTGATAAAAGTTGCAGGTCTAGAACCAGCTATACTAGACAGTGAAGTGTTTATTGAGTTAACAAGTATTTTGAGGTGAATTAAAATTCCCTTAAATCATAATATGCAAAAAGATAAAAAGATATGTGAAAATATTAAAGCCAGAAACATAAATATTTTTCATTTAATTAAATTGCTTAAGATATCCTTGGTTTTACTTCGTGGCTTTTAATCAGCTCTTGTCAGAGGGCTATAATCTGTGCAGCCCCAACTTTTTATTTACATATTTATTCTCTAGTGGATCAAATACAACAGATTCAGCAGCTCCCATTTTTCCACCAAAGTTAAGTTTAGAGAAAGCAAAAGCAACTGTAATCTGTACCTTTCAGGTATGAAACACTTCCTCTAAAATTAAAGAGAAAACAGAAAACAAACAAAAAGAACTCTCCTTATCTCTATGCCGAGATAAATCTATCTGTGAAGGTAACACGTGTAATGAGAGAGGAAAAGGTGCCAGTAGACAGGTGTGACCTGGCTTTCATTAGCCATATCTTTATCTAACTGGGTGGAGACACAAAAGAAACAAAATCTTTCCATTTAGCTGTGTCATTATGGGGTGAGGCACCCTGGCTTTGGTGCACTGAAACTCTGACAGTGGGTACAGTCATGCTCTCCCACTCCAGTTGCTACATCTCTTTCCCAGCCTCTCAAATGTCACCACTTTCCCCAGATCTTCTCATCTCTGGAAAGTGGTTATGTGTCCAAAAAGTACATGTGTCTATATCCTTCCAGCACCACAGCCTGTTAGTGGTACCACGATTCATGGCTCCCATTTTTTCCCCCATCCCATTTGGTCCTCTGAGGATCTGAGCAGTTTGATTAAAGAGGAAAAATGCAGGTCTTGGATATGTACTTGCTACACCCACTGGCTGCAGAATTTGCACCTGCCGTACTAAATGATGATTTGCTCAAAGGAATTTAACAAGACAGCTGGTCACATAATATATGCAGCCCTGGCTGTGACAGAAAATATGCCCATTGATAGTTTCAGAAAGATAAAATTTGAAAATTAGCTTATTTCAGAAAAAGAGCTTATAGCTCTTTTCAAGGAGCAAATAAAACATTTAGGTGCACTGCAAGTAAAACCACATAATTTCATTAACTGCAACTTCTGAGATAGCATAATCGTTTTTCTATTGGTGATTAGAAGCTATTCTGCAAATGCTTCATTAATTTAGCATAAATTACCTGCAGAAATGCAAAGAAAGAAAGACGATGGTGTGCAAGTCACCAGCTGTCAGGAGGAAAGCTTTAGTCCTGCAGCCAAAAAGCATGTTGCTTACTGCTCAACATGAGCTGAGAGTCAAATCCAATAGCTTGCAGACATCAAATATTTTGCAAACATCAAACAAAATATCTCACAAAGAAAACATGGTTTGAATATTGTTCCAAAATATTTAGGTAATACTTTGAAATGTTTCTATTCAAAGACAACTGGGAGATTTCAGTGTTTCACTAGTTCAAATGGGTCAGGTCCACCATAAGTATTATTTTTCTCTGTTTCTACCAAAAGAGTACAAAAATTCTAACACTTAATATATTTAGCAAAGCTAAGTAGCTGGAAGCAGCACAAAGGACATAAGGCTTCACTGTGCTATCCAGGGATTAAAATTGGTAAGAGTATTTCACTAGCCTGGTTTTCTAACAGTCACAGAGCAGAAACAAGAGAGGCACTCATTCCATGGAGCTTCTGCCTCTCTGAATAAAGGCTTGCTCCCTGGAATAATTTGTGGTGTCAGGGTGAGACCTCACACAGAGGGATATCCATCCCTTACCTGCGTGACTGCTGGAGTGCTGGGGAGGATCCAAGCCTGGTGCACCTACTACAACACAGCCTGGCTTGTTGGGTCAGAACCAACAGCTCAGGACAGCTTTCTGTGTTGTTGGTAGTACACAGCTGGGTTTACCCATACCTGTGATGATTTCTGGACACCTCTTCCTACAGCTCCCTTAGTGCACCCAACCTGCTGCAAATGCGTTTTTATGAATCACTTCCTGAAGCTTTCAGGTGTCATGGAATGGTCACAGTAACAGAAAACAGGAACCATATCACTCACATCAGTTTACCTTCACCAGCCCAACAGAGCTCAGACCCATCCCAAACCCTCCTGCATTTCACAGTCTTCCCAGAGCCTGGGGGAAGATGGGCAAAGTGGAGAGGAGCACTCAGGACACAGCTTGTTGCCTGTGTTTGTGTCTAAGCTGCCTACTGCAGTGAGAGCTCCTGCACTGACTTTAATGGCACTTTTATACTGCTCTGTAGGAGATGTGGGCTAACTCTAAACCCCAGATTGCAGCTCTGCAGGGCAGCCTCCTCTGTCTCCCCACCACCCCCCAAGAATCTCCCCCTATAGCTGATAGTAAGGGTCCTTACCAGTAATGGTATCTGGGCAGCTGCAGCCTAAAACTAACCTTCTGCTGGCACTCAGGAGGGATTTTCAATAACCTGGAACACAGCTTGATTTTTCTATATATAAATACTGGATGCAGCAGTGTGATTAATGACATTGTCTCCTGTCATGAAACAGGGAAGTTTGATCCAGAGCCAGTGCTGGGAGGCAGGAGGAGATGAAGCTTAGGCAGGGATAAGGGCGATTATGGCTCCTTTTCCCCTGAGGTTGCAGGTCTGACCATGCACCACTCAGATCTTAGCTCTTTTTTGAGGCTTTGCAAATCATGTTAGTCCAGCCCAGGGGTTGGAGGTGGTGGTACAAGAGATATTACAGAGGGGCACTACAGAGAAAAACCATCAGGAAATCTCAGTCCCAAGGGAATTATTTCAGAAACTTTTGATGACAAAACTTTTTTTCTAACATAGATCAGGCTGCCCACATCTGATACCATAGAAGAGAAAGAGCACATCACAGCAATTGCCTTGAGACAGATTGTCACACCAAGGACTGTCCTTCCCATACTAGCAATGTGGCATGCCCTCTGGTGAGAAACTAGTGGAATGAAACAGAAAAATCCACAGATTTTTTAGCCCTCAAGGATTCACTAGCCCACTGTTAGAAGCAGTGATATTTTTCCCATTTGGTGGTAGATTAAGCCTCTATCTAAGCCCTTCAGCTGAGTTTGTATGGTAGGAGGATATTTCAGATGTTTATGTGGCTCCCTCCCTGGGACTCTGCATCTCCTTGTTCACTGATCTTTTCCACAGGATCTGCTCAGGCACTGGCTTCTCTGCTGCCTATGCCAGGTTCTCCACTTTCTGTGTAGAAAGAACATTCCACCAGTTGTCATGCTTCCTTTGCTGCAGTCAAGTCTTCCTCTGTTACAAACAACTCCTTTATGTGTCTGCCACGCCAGGGAAATGGCTCCCAGTCCCAGAAATGGCTTGGCCTGGCCTAAAGCTTCTTCCTTGGCCACACTGCTTACTGGTGGTGTGGGGGAAGCTGGAATACAACATGATAAGACTTGTTTGCCAGAGTTGCCAAAGGTGAGTCTGTTTTGTTTCCTTGTTTGCAGCACCTTGACAAGGTCAAGTGGAAGCATCTGGCAATGAGTGACTCACTCAAGGCTGCCTTGTGAGTCAGCAGTGCAGGCTGGCAGGGCTCAGGAATGCTGATGGCTGGGTCTCCTGCTTTCCCTGTGGTTGCCCTAGCAAAGCTCTCTTCGGTGAGTACAGAATGGAAATATCTCCCATAATGAGGATTTCCCATTGCAATTCTTGGCAAAGCTGAATTGCTGCAGATTTACGAGCTTTCATTCAGATCTTCTCTAATTCCTCTTTTGAAACTCCATTACCTCCATCTGTGTTGCCTTTTGCATCTATCAGCCATTTTTACTTGATGGGCTGTTTTTGTGTTTGTTTTGTTTCTTGCAAACTCTGATAGAATTTCACCAGCTGAATTTTGTAGACTCCTTCATTATTCACATCTTGTGTGCAAACAAATGCAGCCTGCACAAGGAAAAGATACAAATCAGCATAATTTTGTTTTTTTAAGAAAGCAGAGAAGTTCGGAGTTCTACTCAAATCTAAGTGGTTTCATTGCTAAAAGAAGTATTAGCTGACAAAGATGACAGTACTACAGCAAAAGGATTCAGAAACATTGCCCAGAAATTTTCTTCCAGCCTCAGAACTGGTTATTTTGCAGCTTTCCTTTCAATGGCGTTCGGTGGCTGTGGGTCAAATTCAGTCTGATGTTGAAGAGTGGCCAAATTTAAACCTTAAATTGTTTAAAATTTTAAAAAAAAATTTAAATTTTTAAAATTGTTAAGGGGGGTGGGGGGGCAGGTCTTTGCTCACAGGTTAGCAGGGCTTGTCAACAGTGCTTTAAGCCAGACTTGAAGGGAGAGTGGGATAATGCCAGGCTTTCCTGTGACAATGTGTGCATGACATCAAGGTTAAAAGGACAGAGTGCTAGCAAGGGCACTCAGCCCCTTGCTCTGAGTCCTACACCTGGGTCATGGCAACCCCTGGGATCAATACAGCCTGGGGGGAGAAGGGCTTGAGAGCAACCCTGCAGAGCAGGACTGTGGGTGCTGGTGGATGAGAGGCTGGACATGACTTGGCAATGCACACTCACAGCCCAGAAATCCAACTGTGTCCTGGGCTGCTCCAGAGCAGCGTGGGCAGCAGGGAAAGGAGGGGATTCTGCCCCTCTGCTCTGCTCTGCTCTGGTGAGACCCCACCTGGAGGGCTGCATCCAGCTCTGGGGCCCCAGCACAAGGAGGACTTGGACCTGTTGGAATAGGTCCAAAGGAGGACCACCAAGATGATCAGTTGGCTGGAGTACCTCTCCTATGAAGAAATTATGAGAGGGTTGGGGTTGTGCTGCCTGGAGAAAAGAAAGCTTCAGTGAGATCTTAGTACAGCCTTTCAGTATTTAAAGAGGGCCTACAAGAAAGATGGGACAAACCTTTTAGGCTTGTTGCATAGGACAAAAGGTCAAGAACTTAAACTAAAATAGGGTATATTTAGACTAGATTTAAGGAAGAAAATTTTTACAATTAAGGTGCTGAAACATAGGAACAGGTTGTTCAGAGAGGAAGCAGAAGCCCTATCATTGGAAATATTCAAGATCAAGTTGAATGGGGCTTTGGGCAACCTGATTTAGTTGAAGATGTCCTGTCTCATTGCAGGGGGTTAGACTAGAAGACCTTTAAAGGTCTCTTCCATTTTAAACTATTCTGTGATTCTATAGTTCTGTTAGTACTCCTGAAGGCCTCCAGAGTGATCAAAAACAGTTTGCAGAGGACAGTGGGTAATAATTTTGTCTTTATAGATCATGGGGTATGGGCAAGATGGATGAACAAGTATGTAGGCAGACATCCTCATGAAGGAATACCATCCAGGACCATTCTCAGCCTGTTGGGCTAGAGGAGATGGAGTTTAGTCCATGCCTGTTTTGTTCAACCACCTTAAGCACAGTATCTGCTGGGAAGAGGGCCTTGATTGTGCTAGCTGCTAAATCCTTTGGAACAGCATTAGTCACCATGGGCCAAGCCCTCGGGCCAGCCTTTCACCAAATGAGGTGTGCTGATCACCAGGGGCCAACAGCTGGGAGAGTCCCTGTCACTAATTAATTAATACAGGAGGAGGGGGAATTCCACTAAATACTAGTGTCAATTGTGCACTGGGCTAGCATGTAACACAGTGCACAGGGCTTGTAGTCATCCCTTCCTTAGAGGTTAGTGCCTTCTGCTCTGCACCAGCTCAGTTGCTTGCACTATTTGAGGACTAAATTAGATCATTTCACTGAGAGCACTGATCACAATAAGCACATTTGATAGCACACCCAAAAGGGCAGTGACCTGAAGTGTGATGGTGCAAGTGAGGGCTGAAGCAGAAGGGTAAATTTCACAGGGTCAGTCAAATATTGTACTTTTCTTTAAAAAAAAATCTTTCTTTAGTTACTGCTATTTTCAGAACATGAAGGATTTGGATCATTCATCTGGCAAGTTACATATTTGTTTATTTATGAGAGATGCTGACACCTAGAATAAAAAAAATAATTCTGTGGTCACTTTTGAATTACTGTTGCTGGTAATATGACTTTTCTGAAGGGTTTTTGTCATCAAACTTTACATTGTGCAAATATTCTTGGTCATTTTAGATTATGTGGATGTTTTGACTTTGGATTGTGTCAACTTTAAACCCAGTTGACAAAGAAGATACATTTTTTTTTTTCAATTCACAGCAGAAAATTCTGATCACAAAAGTCCCATTCCAGAATATTTTAGCCAGATTTGACCAGAAATTGTAAAAGGGGATTTCTTTCAAAGCAGAGCAAAAAATGTAATAGAGTTTTTGTCATGTGTTCTAACAGAAAATGTTATTTATCATAACTGTCTGGAAAAACAATATAATTTAATGGTCATGGGAGTCAGCCTCAGGTTGTGACCTGTTCCCCATTATACAGTCAGTTCTTGTCTAGACCAAAGCAATGTCACACACATGAGTGAGAAGTCATGAGCTCTTAGGAAATTCCAGCAAGTGCAGAAGGCTGCAATATTTCTTCTCACCAGCACAGACTAGGACTAGTACCCTCTTAGAGTTTTCCTGCACTGCTGACTCCAGCCCAAGCCTGTTGTCTCCAAAGCACTCAGTAGTCTGGGTCCTAAATTCATCTGAAGTTCCTGTGTGAAGACTGTGATGTCCAGTTTTGCTCCTCACTTGGCAGGGAACTTCCCATAATGGCCTATCTCATCTTAGGGCCATGAGCTCCCCTAGAAACTATGAACATTACAAGCCTGCTTCTTTTCTGCCAAGTGCAAGACCTCTGCTTTAAGCCTCACCTTTTTTCTGCCTTCTTTTTTTCATGGCTCTCAATAAAACACACTACCTGTAATGCTAAGGATGTGATGACAAAGCCTTTTTCACATGTGTTCCTGCATATGTCAATGCATATTACCAAAAGGCACCAGTAAAGGTAACCTCTTACACTCTGAAAATTGTTTCGCGCAGGAAGGATAAACCATTCAGAAATGTTAAAAGAGTTTTAGACTGTTATCTAAAAGAGAAGTGTTCTTTCCTCAGTTTTAAAACTCTGGGTGTCTGGCCCAGTCCTATGGAGACACACAAAATACATCTTCATATTAACCCTGCCATTAAAGGGAAATGATAAATGATAACAAAGTTATCAGGGCCTTATGTTTGTTGAAATAATTTCCCCTACTCAAAGGTGTAGTATCATGTTCTATAGGTGGATGGACTTTCATTATTGTAGCAAAGGAATGTAGGTCAGCAAAGTTTTTTATCAGAAAAAAAAAAAAAGAAAGAAAATACTTCCTGCTCCTTGATTTTGTGTTTGTACTGTGTATTTTTCCTCCAGGTCTCAGAAGATAAGCATTGACTGGAGTCACAGATATAGCCGAAGATACTGTTCCCAGGATGGGGATTCCTCTGCACCAGTTACTTTAATCAGCCAGTTTGGGATAGAGATATGCAACTATACATGCATAGGTAAGGGACAAGCAGAGCAAGAAAAGCCATAAGTCTTTACATTTCAAGAACTCCAAAGGCTTGAGCGAGCAAAATGACAGTCAAGAGACATTCCCTTAAAATAATATGTGAGCTATGACCACTATGCAGAAAGATGTACTTCATAGTTACAAAGATAAACAGCAATATAAAAGGCAGATAGGAATGTGCCCAAGAGCAACTGAAATGGTTTTTCCAGAGGTAGTTCTGTCCTCAAATTGTTGTGCTCTCAGCTGTACAACCTTTGTTATACGACATATAATATTTCATGACCAAAAGGGGATAAATTTTATTGAGATCCCTTCTACAGCCATATTGAAAAGGAAGTAAACATTGTGCCATCATTAAGCAGCTTAGTAAAGCTTGGGTTCTGTGGATGAAGAAGGATTGGCAGGAGATGTCATTACAAGTCAGGCTCAAGTTTGTCAGTCTTGCACCCTGATTGCTGTACAGGGCAAATCTCCTCTGGCACAGCAGGGGTTACCAGACTTCTTCACTACTTAACACAAAAACAGCCTAAGACTAAAGAAACCAGTTGAGGAGTAAATGCCCTGGCAGAAAGATACTGAAGGTCAAATTCTGAGCCTAGTCTATAACTCTATTGTATTTGGATATCAAAGCAGATAGCTGAAGTATGCATGAGTGTGCATTCATTCACTAATAAGGGGTTACTGTAGTACATTTTCTCATGATTCCTCTTTTCTCCTCAGCTCAGTATTTTCACCCATGGTGAGGTCCCCAGAAAGGTTACTGCTGTAGAATGATAAAGTTGCACTTAGATAATGATGACTAGTGTTTTCAAAGAACTCAGATTCTGTATGGGCTCATACATTAAACAATCCAAATTTTGCTGAGACCTCACTTGAAAACGCTGGCTCAACCCAGCCTCTAAGAGTTGCTGTATACTAAGGAAAGGAGAACTACAAAGGCCTGACTAAAAGCCCATGGCAAGTTGTTTCAGAATATCAGGAGTTAGAGTAAGCACTGTGACTAAAAGCTGCATTGCATTGGCTTTGCAGGGTGACTGGCAGCATCACCGATGTGGCAAGCACTAAAACTGGCCACAACCTGGGCATTTTATCCTCTCTGTTTCAGAGGCATTTGAGCCGTTGCTTTTGGAGAAATGCACAAGTGGGTTGTTCTTCTCCAAGGTACACAGCTTGTGGTTAAACCACACTAAGCTGAAAATGTAAAAACCTCACAAGGTCACAAAATGTTTTTCACTGTCACATGTAGAATTAGGAACAATATTTAAAAGGGATTAACATCAAAAATAGGGTGTTGTGTGTGCTGATTATTTCTGTCCTTGAACAGTAGTTCCCAGGTCGTTATGCTTCAGGCATTTCTGCTAGAGCTGAGAGCAAATCTTCTAGATCTGTGTCAAGCTGCAGAAGCTACTTTAAGAGCTCAAGCAGACTTTCCTGGTTTTAACCAAACCTGGATATTGTGCCTAATAGACAACACCACCTCTCTATTTACCCAGGTAGTTTTAATTTATTAGAAGCAACCACTAGGTTATTAAGTGCTTTATAATTAAAACAGGCAAAAGAACAGGATTAACTGGCAGAACATGAGCAACTACCTACCCAACAAAAACAAACAGGACAAAATACCACATTTAATAATATTACTAATAATGAAAAATTACTTTGGGTTTAACATGCACATCTTACTTTCCAGCCTTTTATCAAAGGGTTAAGGGTTTTTAGCATGTGTTAATAGTTAACAAATTTGGTTTCAGGAAACTGAAAAAGCTTTGTCATACACATGCTCAAATTGTCTTAATTTATTTCAACCAAGCAGACAGTGAATGCTAACTCCTTTGTCATTAATATGTTCATCCATCCCTTATTTGAGATTCTTTCTAAATCCTTTGACTCCTCTCTGAAGGTGATAATCCATTCTTTAATTTAAGAGTCATGTCTTATTGCATTCATTTTTGCAGGAGCAAGAAGAAAACTGAATCAATCAAACCTGCACAGAGCAACATTAAGCACTGTAAGTCTTGATTAAAGCTCATTTTTGAAGTACAATTTGGCCCAAAGAAAGTTAGCATTTCAATAATAATTAATCATAGCATTTAAAAGAAACCACTTTTTTTATATAGTTCTAAAACTATGCTAAATTGCTTACCTGAAGTAAGAACTGTAGATGCTGCTTTGTGTTTTGCCTGTTAAAATACAACATTGCTCCAGCCATCATTTGTACTCTTTTAACCCACTTAAGGAGGTGATGTACAAGGAATAACACTATAAAATTTTGTAAATGGCTTCTGGTGTGTTTAAATGCAATGTTTCAATGTTTTGACTGACCATGGTAGCCTGCTGTTAATAGGATTTGCTCAAGAGAACCCTTACTGGATGTTCTTGTTAATTCCCAGCCAGGCTTCAGCAACCTCTATGAAAGGAGGTTTCATCTTGATATGATTTTCTTGTATCAACCTGCTTAATTAACCAGGAACTGTTAATGAAGGAGGGCAGCTGAAGGAAGCCACAAGATGAAATAGGAGTGAGAGGGAGGAAAAGTAATTTCAATGGCAAGGTATGGTTGAGGGTTTTAGAGATTCCTTCAGAAAAAGTGGGGTGAATATGCCCCTTTACCAAGGCCTCCAATTAAAACTGAAATGAAAGAACCCATGAGAGTGAGCCAAAGATCAGAGAAGAAAGACTTGTGAATATTGACCCCACTAGAGAAGCAGAGGCTCACCTGCAAGGTCCTTCGTGGTCCCTCAGTGTTCAGCTGCTGGAGTGCCACGGTCCTGGCTCCTGGCCCTTGGTGCCTCCCTTCCTCCTGCGTGAGGAAGGAAGCAAGGGGCTGCAGAGGCATCCCTGCAGCTCTGGTGCCAGCAGAGAGCCAGGTCATGGCTGGAGCTCCTTCCATGCATTTCCACATGGGTAAAGAGTAACTGCATGGAAAACAGCATCTGAGTTTAGGGTATGAAAAATGGGTATTGCATAGGCAAGTAATGCCACAGTAAGGGAGGCTTTACATATTATTCATGGTTTTTTCTTGGTCACGCTACATTTCTACACAGACTGTAGCCATAGCTGTGACTGTAATCTGCCACTAAGATGCAAGATCTAGAAAAATGTTCTGTAATTTCCAAAATTTGTAAAGAAATGACTGTGCATAGCTTTGTACAATACTTACTGTATTTTTGCAATTTATGCAGAGATTTCTTAACTAACTGCATCCTTAGGTGCACTAATGCCTATAGATGGTGTGAGTGATAAAATAATTCCAGGGTAACTTCTACAAACAAAACATTTGACATCTGTTTTGTAGCTAAGAAAATTGGAAAAAGACAAGATGACAGCTGCAGAAGCATAAAAAAGTATGTCATAAGAGATTGTCTGATATCATTCATATAGATCACTTGACTGTGGTAGCAAATTAAATCATGCTGTTTTCCAAGACTCACTCATAGTCAAAACTGAATATACTCTAAAACAAAAGCTTTGTGCATTCCTAACAATATGTTAGCATCTCTTTCAATTATGAAAACCATTAAAGATTTGATTTAAAAATAATTTGCCCTGTAGCCATTAAGGCTTCAAATTATGGAAAACATTTCTGATTCTAACTTATTGTTGCACAGTTGAAAGGGAAATAATCCATTGTCTTCTTGGTATTTTCAAGGCAGTGGTGTAAATACCTTATAAATATTTGAAAAAATTTTGGCAAATTGCAGAAGCATCACAGAATCTTGTTAAATGCTGTTTCTCTCAAGAATCAGATTCAAGGGAAAATTAATTTTAAATACTACAGGTTAACAATCTTTTTAGGTTTTTTAAATTTTAAACAGTTATAAAAAATTATTAAAAATAGTCCAAGGATGTACTGAAAATATTAAAACAGATAAGAAATCTCTGTCATTTCTGAGGGCAACTAGGATGGCATATGAGAGAAAAATATCCAAGATACATTCTCTAAAATTCCTCTTAAATGCCTCTTAAAACTAAATTGTGTCTAAATTTTTGTCTAAATTTTCCCCAATGATTCTATCTTCCCTGATGGTTGCAATACCACTGGCTGCAGTAGCAATGAGGTTGCCAGACTGGAGTCACTGCTTATTAAAATTGGTTCCATGTTTAATATTGAGCAGAAATGTCAGTCAAAAGTAAAGGGCAAAACCCTTCTCCACACTCTGAAGTGCTCTCCATACTCTCTGTGCTTTTCAGGTAGACTCCTGCTTAGTAACTAAGCAACCACATCCTGCACCTCTAACTCACACATTTTGATCTTACCAGAGGATTTGCTTTGGCAAAGTTTACACTGAATCAATTGTACATCTGCAGTTCAAGTCTGAAATGTGCTTGTTGTAAAATCGTGAATTAAATACTTCAGAGAATAATTGTAGGTCTGCAGATCATCCCATTTATGAATATTGTAATCCACATTGAAATTTTCAGTTGGGAATGTGTCTTCTACAATAAACCAAGGAAAGTGAATTTAAGCCCCATATATCTTTTGGCCTATGTTGATACCATTTTTAAAAATTAACAAGTTGAGCATGAATGCTTATCGTCCCATTGACTATAATATTGCCCAGGTTTGTTTTGCTTTATCCTCAAGGATCATAACATTTAGTTTGAGTAAGTAATCAAAACAAAGTCAATAGAAAATTCTGAACCTTCTTTTGGAAATGCAACATTTGAATTAAATGTTTGCCTCCCATGAGTAAGTCACATGGGCATTCTCACTGAGAAGTATTCTGCTAGTAAAGCTCACATGATCGCATATTCATAGAAAACAAACATAAAAGGACTACAACCACAGTTCAGTGGACGCTCCCTTTTGCATGCAAATGGATATTTAGGATATGTGCTCAGTCTGCTCTAGTCATTGCTCCTGCAAAACTCCAACAGTACCAACCAGAGGGCCTCATTACAAATAACACACAGTATAAATAAGAAGCTTGCAGAGGTGGAAATGTTGTATGTAAGCCATCTGAGCAGCACTTAGCAGTATGGAAAGTATTTGTAAGGGTCAGAAATTATGGGGTATTTCAAGATCAGGATCAAAAATTAGGACCATGAATGAAGGATGTTGATCGGTCGAAATGTTGTATGTAAGCCATCTGAGCAGCACTTAGCAGTAAGGAAAATATTTGTAAGGGTCAGAAATTATAGAGTAGTTCAGGATCACAAATTAGGACCATAAATGAAGGATGTTGATCGGTTCAGAGCCCCTCCATGGCTGGTCACAATCACCCCAGAGCTCCTTCATCTCATTGCAAAGCTATGGGGCCAGAGCTCATAAGCTCCTCAAAGGGGAATTTCAGATCTAATTTTTCACAAAGGTTGATTTTGTAATATATTCCAATGAAAACAGAGAATATCAATTAGTATAGCAGACATCTTGTCGTCCTAAACCATATCAGTCTAATCTAATTCACTAAATTGGGAAAAAGAAACACTCATTCTACCAGAGCAATTGTTCCCAACCTTTATCAGCCATGTGTTTGCTGCTAGCTTCAGATCCAACACAACCTGTGTGGGCATACAGTATCTGTATCCAGTCTAGCTGTATGAACTGGCCCAAGTAAAAGATTTCTATTCATAAAGTTTGCCTTGGCTGTATCTGTACACTGCTGCAGCTAGAGCAACACTACTGCCAGCAACATAAATGAATGTTCTACTTATTTGAACAAAAGCCAAGCACAGACAAGTCACAAATGCTTCAGATGCAATTAAGAAAAAGACCATACAGCAATCATGGAATAAATGAGGTGTTCAGAGATGTCTGGAGGTTATCTAATTCACCTCCCTGATCAAAGAGGGGTCCTGGTGGATCTGAACAGTTCAGATGGGTCGTGGTACTTCAGGTTTAATTGTTCCTACAGTGGTAAATTTATTAAATCTGTTAGGGTGGGGTTTTTTTCCTCTCTTGAATCTATTGGTAATCTGAGATAAAATATATTATATGAAAATGTCAGTTATGTAACTACAAGCAAGGTATAAATCACACTATCTCCTACTATGTTTTCTAGTCTGAAGGATAAAACAAGATTTGTAAAATAATAATAGGAATACAGAACTGTATGCAGTTTTAATCATATCACCCCTGACACTACATGCATACAATGTTTCTCTAATGTACCATTTGGTCTAAGATAAAACTTAATCACTCATGTAGCATATGCTTTACCCTCAAAAATTACTGAGGCAGGATTTGTATTTGTTACAATAAAATTCAGTTTGGGAAGAGTTAACTATTGACTGCATTGTCATTTAATTATGTCAAACACTATGCCGAATCTTTCAACAAGTACTTTCAAGAAAAGTATTGGTTAATGTAGCTATTTAAGTGCAACATTTTCACCTTTTGTTTTAATTAAGAAAGAAAGCAAGCAAGCACCTATTTTCACAGTAAAGTCTGTATTTATTTTTGTGGAGGAGGGTGATGTTTTTCTCTATTTTCAAAACTTTTGTAGTTGGACTTTATTGTAAATACATTTGAAAGCTGCCCTTAATGCCATTCCTTACTTCAGAACTAATTGATTCATTGTGTAAACATTCCTGACACACAAATACAATCAAGGGTCTTTTGCGTATCATCTGCAAACCAGGCAGAGGAGCTAATGTAAGAGTGCTGTTTCTGAGATAGATGGGGCTTTTCTGCATGACTCACCACTGCTTTTATTGTAGAGAATTTTTTTCTGTTCAAATTACTCTAACATGCAAACCTAGCATCCCTATTTCAGAGTTTTATAATAGATTGTCCTATTAAACAGAAAGTTAACTCCAGTATGCATCCAAAATGTAGAAAACAAAACAAAACCACAAAAATAATGTATCAGAGAAGCATCATAAAATGCCATTTCTACTTGGAGGAGCAAGCACCACATCTTCTGCCGAGCAGAAATGAAGCAGTTGCTTTCTCCTGCAAGCATTACCTCAGCCTCTTCTGGACAGATAGGCTTTTATCCATATCTCCATCTTCATGAGTCACTGTATAAACTGTTTGGCTGCCCTAAGCTGGACTAAAGAGCAAGAAATACAAAGGGCAGGTGTCAGCACACAGTGGAGAGCACAGTCCTCA